ACAAAAACAAAACTTCTTAGTTTGATTTAGTCCCATTTGCTTTCGCTTGCCATAGGAAACATATTCAAAAGAATATTACTAACAGCAGTAATGAAAACTTATTACCTAAGTTTTCTTCTAGGAGTTTTATAGTTTTGAGTTTTACATTTAAGTCTTTAGTCCATTTTGAGTTTATTCTTATATGGTATATGGTTTAAGAAGGTGACTTAGTTTATTTTCTTTCTTTCTTTCTTTCTTTTTTTTTTTGCATGTATCTGTCCAGGTTTCCCAACATCATTTATTGAACAGACTGTCTTTATTCCATTGCATGGTCTTGCCTCCTTTGTCATAGATTAATTGAGTAGATAGGCATGAGTTTATTTCTGGGCTCTCTCTTCCCTTCCATTGACCTATGTGTCTGGTTTTATGTCAGTACCATGTTGTTTTGATTATTATAGCTTTGCAGTATAGTTTGATATTGGTTAGCATTGAGACCTCCAACTTTATTCTTCTTTGTTAAGATTTCTTTGGCTATTCTGGGTCTTTTGTGGTTCCCACAAGCACTTTCTTTATTAGGAGAATATCACAGCGCTCAAGTGCAGAAACTCTAGTGCCAGGTTGCCTAAGTTTGAGATCCCACTCTGATAGTACTAGCTGTGGGGGTTAGGAATCCTGAATCTCTCTGTGCTTCCGTTTCCTCATCTGTAAAATGTGGATAGATCAAATGATTTAATACGTGGAAAGTTTTAAAGTTGTGCCAGGCACAGAATAAGCAGTATAAAGTTTTAGACATTTCTTGTGATAGAGTTATAAAAAATTGTCTTCTCAAGGACCAGTAGGAAGCTTCAGCATGGAATGTAAACATTTTAAATGCTTGAAAGGGTTTTCAAGAAATCTGAAAGTTTATATTAATGTTCTTAACTTTCCTCTGGGGCCCCCTTATTTAACATCAAAAATTCTCCATGCACTTGTTGCTAATGAGAATCCAAGACATCCCCATAAACAGCAGGGAAGGAGCCACATTTATTAAACACATATTTTGTTCAGAGGACAGTAAGAGAGCCCTGTTATGAGGAAAGAAAGCAAGAAGCATAGACGCTCCTCCTCCTTCTGAAGCGCAGAAACACTGTGGGGAAAACAGCTGTCCTCAACCACCTCCTCCTGGTGCCAAGTCTCTTTGTCATTCCTCAGGTGCTAGGGCTGTGTGGACTTGGTGATTCCGCTCTGCCCCATTTGAGAGATGGCTTTTATCCCGTTATTCCCTCTATTTGCCTTCCAGGCTCGCTAATGAGGCCCAGGTTTGAAAGCAGCTAAATTGGTCCCTGGTCACCCGTTTGGGGTATATCTGGCCCTACCCTAGCGGGGCATGAGGCTTTCCACAGGCTGTGTGGCCAAGCATGAGAACATGTTCTGGCCCAAGAAGGTAGATTTGGATTGACTCTTTCAAAGTCAGCCCCTGCGAGGCATCTTTAAACTGGCTGCATACACCTCAACCTGCAGTTGTAGGTGGTACAAGGGCAAGGTAGGTTTAAAATGATACATTTCAAGCTCTCAAATGTCCCCAAATCGGCCCGAGAAAGTGCCTGAGATTGCATTGTAATTCTAATTCTCCTTTCTGACTGCTTCCACTTTAGTAATTGTCCAGGGGAGGATTTTTCTTTACTTTCTTCCTTTAATAGTCATTTGATAAAGCCTGGTAAAATATTAGCAGTATACTGTCTAGATATTGAGAAATTGAATGAATTTAATACCGAGTTACAAAGCCCTTTGCAAGTCAGGTATTTTCCAATTCATTGCTTTAAAAGAAATTGAAAGAGGAACTAATTGAATTGTCAGCTGTGCGATCATTAAAATAATTTTTGAAGCTATATTACTCTGTGATTTTTGGCATATGTTTTGGAAAAGGTTCAAAGAATTGAGTGACATTTCTCTACGAGATTTTCATTTCCATATCCTTGCTGATGTGAACTAGGTTCTTTTTAAAGTGAAAAAAAAAGGAATAGGAATAGAATTGATCCTCAGCTCTGTCTCATTCTAGCAGTACTGATATTTATCCAGGGTATAACTTTTAAAAGCCTCATCAATCCTACTAAGAGCGATATTTCCAGTAAAAGCTCACTCATTAGCTTTAATTATTACTTAACAGCATGTAAAATATATTTATGTTTTTTTATCAATATTATCCTTGTATTGATAACTCATTCTAAAAGAAAATATTATTACTCAGAGCTTTATGGTCACTGAACACAAAGGAAATTTAAATTTATATGTAAATATGATAGCTGATCAATAAGAGATTTTCAAGCATACAATATATCAGGATAAAATCTACAGAAGACACATAATGGAAACACAAGTTTACATTTTAAAAAGGAATGGTGCATATTTTATGGTTGTCAAGGAAGAACTCATTTATGAATGTTGAAAGAGATAATCACGAGTATCAAATTGCTATGGTATTTAAATGCCATTAAACATACATACCTATATGCGTATACATATTGAGATGTTTTGATGTTTAAGTGGGAATATTTTCCACAGACCAAAAGTGCATTCTTTCCAACTATAACTTAAATTTTACAAATTCAGTAAATGTGCAAGGGGTTACATAATTGGCCCAAATAAAAGCAACAATATTTGTTTGCACATATTTATCTGGATTTGTGTGGTTCCAGGGACTAGAAGACAACTCGTCACCCTGTCTCAGCTCACCATTCACTCTTGGCTGGCTGAGTCCTGGAATTGCACAAGTGGGACTTCATTGTTGGGAATTACTCAAATGCAACAGTCCTTAGGATAGGGTTGCCTTATCCATCATTTACAACCGAGAGGAATGAATGAGTTTGTGTGTGTGTGTGTGTGTGTGTGTGTGTTTTAATGCTTTTGAAAGTTCAAAGCAGTGAAGCTCTTTTTGCGCTTTAGTCTTCTTTGTAAATGAATTGGAGACCTTTCCATAGAATGAACAAATGTGGAAAGTGAAATAAACGTCTCAAGGATATGGTCAGAAAAACATGACTTTAATTTGTCTTCATACCAATGACATGTATTAAGGTGGAAAAGAGTCATTTAATGACACGTGAATTATCAGGACCTAATGGTGAGTCCAGGTGGGCCCCCCAAACTCATCTCCCTGATGTTACCCAGAAACAAATACAAAATTAGGTCTGTCGATACTGGTGTGCAGAGATGCGTGTGGTCATGTTAAAAGAGAAGCTTCACAGGGAAATGAGAGTGTGATTCCATTTCAGGCAAAAAAAAAAAATCAAGACAAAGTGTCTATGTGAATGTATGTTTGTGAGGAGTAAGATGTGGAAGGAGAAGTGTCAGGCTGTTTTGGAAATAATGACCTCAGGGAACCAGGAGTTGGGCAGGGATGGAATGATTAGCTTGGCCTTTTTGCATCTTTGTATTATATTTGTTCGCACGTTTAGACATGTTTATTTTACACTTTTAGTTTAAAAAAATAGCAAATAAAGACAATTTAGAATAGAATAATCTCCTCCTATTTTAATTTGAAAGCACCTGATTATCACCCACCCCTACCTCCTGGCCCCGGCACCTGCTAAACGCTAGGTGGACTTGTACATAAAAGACCTCAGTAATTGGGAGCTGGTATTATTTCTATTCCTCCGACCAACCAGGGATAGTCCTTCTCTAGACTTGAGGCTTTCCCTTTCCAGGAGAGCTGTCACCTGGTGCTCCAGTGCCATCTGTTCCCCTGACCCTGTCAGGCTGGTCGCTTTGCCAGGGGAAACCGCTTATCCAAATGCGTGTGCACTCTCTTCCATGGCCAGTGTCTCGGGTGTGCTGCCCATCTTCTGAGCCTATCAGAAGGATCTCTAGTTGCTCAATGGGTTCAGAACTGGTAAGGAATGGTAGTGTTTCTTCCCTGGAGGCACTGGATTCACATGCCTTGTCCCCAGGAGGTACACCTCCTACCTTCTGCTAGGACATCTGGGGGCATCCTTTGCTCTGTGCTCAGATACCCCAACTCAGGTTCTGCCTAGAGGACTAGAGCATTGAGTTCTCGGTGAGAACAACTCTCACTCTTTAGTCATATTCTTCACTGCAGACCCACAGTTATAAAGGGCTTCTTTTTCTACATTTTTCCTTTACAGGTTCTCAGCTTCTGGGGCACATATGCAAGTTGTTTTTGTTTTTTTCCTGACCATACAGGCATGTTTATCTCTACATTAAACCTGATAGCGAGCAGGTCATACACCCCAAAAAGCAAATTCCATTAGCCTTCCATGGTTGGGGAAGTAGGTGAGAGGTGTGAGGATAAACGAGGTGACATCAGCCAAACCATTTTCTCTCAGGGCACAGGGAAAGGAGTGTGAGGAGGAGGAGGAGAAATTGCCTTACCATCTCTTCTGCCCTCTCCAGAAATCTTAGGAGGCAGGCAGGGTTTCTTCTAACGCCGTTAGCTTTCTCAGGTGAATTTCCAATCCATGTTATAAGCTGTAGGTTGCAGGAGGCACTGGGCAGCTTAAGCATACAGGGGATTATCAGCACCAAGGAGGTAAACATGTTCCATTTGGAGCTCACAACAGGTTCGGTATTTGCTTTGTGGATTACCTGGGACCTATTTGAAATGCTGATCCACTTTCTCGCCCCTGGGCCCCTGGGCCACTTCTCCCAGGAGGTGCTCAATGTGCTCAAGAAATATAAACTAATTTCCATACACGCCTAGGGGAGCACTAAGATGGAAAACAAATATACAGCAGAGATAGTCACAGAATAGGTTCCCAAATCGAATACAAATGATTTTGCATCATCGGTTCTTCAGGATGATTCAGGCCACTGCTAACCTATATTTAGGAGGTTTCATCAATAATTAATCATGTTCTGTTAGCACTAGGTTATGTTCTTTTATTTATTCCTTGAAGCACAACCAGTATATTTATAATTTAATCGCTCAACACCCTCTTACTCCCGTTCTCCCCTTTCTTTCTTCCTTCCTTGATATTCCCCTTTCACCTTCCCTCTTCCTTTCTCCTCCTTCCCACCCCACCCCACAGGTGTACCATAGACGACCGAGTCACCCGGGTGGCCTGGCTAAACCGCAGCACCATCCTCTACGCTGGGAATGACAAGTGGTCCATAGACCCTCGTGTGGTCATCCTGGTCAACACACCAACCCAGTACAGCATCATGATCCAGAATGTGGACGTGTATGACGAAGGCCCCTACACCTGCTCTGTGCAGACGGACAACCACCCCAAGACCTCCCGGGTCCACCTCATCGTACAAGGTGAGTTCCAGCTAGATTTGTGGGTTGGGGTTGCTGCCGATGATGGAGGGGAAGGACCATCTCAGTCTTTGCTTCTACTCATGTATGAAGACAGAAAATCATTTTCCTCTACAGAATCCAGAGGTTGAGTATGAACCCGGGATTCCTTCTCACCTGCTAGGTTCTTGACTGGGCACTGAATATGTTCACCGTTTCTCAATTTTATCTCTGATCCTTCACTTCTTTTCAATAAGTTGTGTGGCATGTGCTGATTGAGCTCTTAAGTTACTTAGTACTTAAGTAAGGGACCTGGTAGACTTAAAAAATGGATACAATATCCACTTCCTGTACTTATAGATGTAACTATAATTAAATAATGATGGCGATTGTGTAGAGATCTGTCTTTGAATATCTCTGATAGGCTGCTTTTGTTATACAAGATTAATGCTAACGACGTGAAATCATGTGACTTGGGACTGCTTTTGTGTGGGTGATGGTCCTGCACATTCCAGGAGGGCTTCTGTGTGCTGCTTTGTCAGGTTCTCCCTGCATCCTTGCTGAGCTGACGCCTACCCCTTAGCCCCACAGTGCAGCCGAGGTCAAGAGAGGGATTAGTCAAAATTCTATTTCCAGGTCTGTGTTAGAAATAAATCTATATAATTAAAAGGGGGGATCAAATCCCTAAGTTTCTCTCTTATTCTCCCTTAAAAAATCAGGATTGGTAAAACCCAGGCATAGTATTTCATACATTTATATTCAAATTTCACTTTGTAGGGGAAAAAATAGGGCTGTAGGAATGTCAGAATCTTAGATATCAATTATTAAATATTAAAAATTAAAAATGCATCCAGATAACAGTGAGGAGAATGTGAGAGCCGTTTAAAACAAGACAGCAATACAAAGAAAGTTATTTTTAACTGGAGTGGACTGACTGTCCTCCCTGCCTCTTTGAATAAATGCTTGAAAATACTTTGGGGGTTCTTTTGAATGGTAAAATATATATATATTTTTCTTTCAAGCCTCATCTGGATGTGAAAAACTCTATCAAGTTTTTGGAGTCTGAGTTCCTCAGAGGAATCTCAGACAATTATACTCTGGCTCTTACGACGTATGCGCTGTCCTTCCTGGGGAGCCCGAAAGCCCAGGAAGCTTTGGATACCCTGATTCAGCGAGCAAAGCTGGAAGGTACATGCGTAGCCATGGACACGAGCAGTGGGGTGTGAAGACCCGGGGGTGGGGTGAGCAGGGGCTAGGTGGAGGGGAGTACAGGGAGGGGGTGGGATGGGAGATACCTTCATCTCTGTAATTAATAAAAATATATTTTAAAAAAGGGAAGAAGGAGTCCCTGTGTAGGATTTAATCTTTAGTAACTGCCTTTTACCAAATTCCATCTGCACTAGATTCAAAGGCTTAATATCTCTCTTATTCTCCCTTAAAAAATCAGGATTGGTAAAACCCAGGCATAGTATTTCATACATTTATATTCAAATTTCACTTTGTAGGGGAAAAAATAGGGCTGTAGGAATGTCAGAATCTTAGATATCAATTATTAAATATTAAAAATTAAAAATACATCCAGATAGCAGTTAGGAGAACGTGAGAGCCGTTTAAAACAAGACAGCAGTACAAAGAAAGTTATTTTTAACTGCACCGGACTGACTGCACTCCCTGCCTCATTACTACGCAAAGCAGTTCCTCTCAGGTATTGGCTCAGGGCACCCAGAAGTGCTCAGCTCGCTTTATCCTCCGATGGCACATCCTTCCTCCCTTCCTCCACCCAGTGAGGGATTGGGGTAGGCCTCCCTCAGAGCCTCCTGCATGGGGACTTGAAACCATGAACTGAGCTCTCAGAAGGAGTTCCTGTGTGCCCGGCTGGTGTTGCTCAGTGGTAGAGCATGGACCTGTGAACCAGGAGGTCATGGTTTGATTCCATTAGGATACATGCCCAGGGGCTTGCTGGCTCGATCTACAGTAGGGGGTGTGCAAGAGGCAGCCTATCAATGATTCTCATCATTGATGTTTCTGTCTGTCTCTCCCTCTCCCTTCATCTCTGTAATTAATAAAAATATATTTTAAAAAAGGGAAGAAGGAGTCCCTGTGTAGGATTTAATCTTTAGTAACTGCCTTTTACCAAATTCCATCTGCACTAGATTCAAAGGATTTGTCAGTGTATGAAATGTGTATGGCATCCTTGCTTAGCTAATATGGACTCTCTCGCTCCTGTCTTTCCAAAATATATAATTTTGCTCATTTCACGTGGTTTCATGGGGAGCATGAGTAGCAGTTAACGTGTCTTCCTGCTTCAGCCACTCATGCCATTCAGGATGGCCAGCCTTTACGCCAGAGCGGCTCTTTGCTGGCACAGCCTCCAGGCCTCTGACTGAGCCATTTCTAAGGCCTGTGCTGGGTCAGGGGCCTGCCCCTGCAGTTTCTGCCTCAGCAGCCCCGGTGCTGCCCTGCTGCGTGAAGCCTTGCCTCAGCTCGGCCTCCTCTCCGAGGCTTTCAGACACCTTAATAGGATTTAATCTTTAGTAACTGCCTTTTACCATATTCCATCTGCACTAGATTCAAAGGATTTGTCAGTGTATGAAATGTGTACGGCATCCTTGCTTAGCTAATATGGACTCTCTCGCTCCTATCTTTCCAAAATATATAACTTTGCTCATTTCACGTGGTTTTATGGGGAGCATGAGTAGGAGTTAGCGTGTCTTCCTGCTTCGGGCTTCCATCTGGAGATGAAGCCATTGTCACACCCGCTGCTTCTCCTCAGAGGATGGCGGGGCACTGGCATGAGGTGGGATGCCTGGCAAACATTTCTGGGGAGAATGAGTTTTCCTACCCATCCAGCACCTGGCCCTAGTTCTGGAGGAGCTGGATTTCTGGGCGTGGAAGTCCACACCTCCATGGTGCTCTCATAGCTTTGACAGCAAAGTTATCTTAAAATCCAGAAAATGAGACACTGTTTCCCTTCTCCAACATGTCCCGCCCTGGGGCAGGGCTCGGGCTGATTATTGCTTGGCAGTTACACGGCGGCTTCCATCAGGAGATGAAGCCATTGTCACACCCGCTGCTTCTCCTCAGAGGATGGCGGGGCACTGGCATGAGGTGGGATGCCTGGCAAACATTTCTGGGGAGAATGAGTTTTCCTACCCATCCAGCACCTGGCCCTAGTTCTGGAGGAGCTGGATTTCTGGGCGTGGAAGTCCACACCTCCATGGTGCTCTCATAGCTTTGACAGCAAAGTTATCTTAAAATCCAGAAAATGAGACACTGGCGTTTAAAAGGAACTGTCAGGCAGTGCACAGCGACAGACTTAAAGGAACACGGCTTTTACTTTGCAGGAACTAGGACAGATTGTGTAACATGCCAACGTCAACACTGGCCTTAAAGGGCACGTAGTATAGAACAGGGGGGCGGGGTGATGTTCTTCCCAAGGCCCTGGGAGCTATGTCTTGGGCTGGACAGGGAAGCCAGTGGTGCTTCCCATGGGCCTAGGAGCATTGGGTGTTAGAGGATCTGAGAACAGACGTGATGCAGGCAGCAGAGTTTCAACTCCGGGGTTCCGTTCCTGCAGTCTCCACATTCAGGCCAGGCACCTCTTATAGCTCTGTTCATCTCAGGGGGCCTGTGCACTTCTATTCAGAAGACCAGGAGAGCGGAAGGGGGGGAGAGAAGCTTCTGGAACATTTAGCAAATGGTCTTTATACTTCCTAAGAGGTTAAAAGGCGGAGCTCAGAGCTATATTCGCTCCCGTCCTGGTGAGCAATGGATGGCTTGTTCCTCCCTCAGAGACCAGGTGGCTTTCCAGTAGGTGGAAGCCGTGACCCCGCGGCTCAATTAGAAAGGCGCCCAGGAGTGCCCCTCCTTCCAGCAGCTTTCGGCTCTCATCCAGTCCATAGATTAATTTTTTAGACTTAGTGTTAGTTCAGGTGAGATAAAGATAATGAAAGTTTCCTAATCCTCTTAAAGAAGATTTATCTGACTGCGTAGAAAGCTTTTGGAATACAATAAGGCATGTATAAAACTGAGGCCTAATCTGGCCTTTAATTTCAAACTGCTGATGGGTATTGATTTTGCAATGAGGAAAACGGAAAACTTTCCTGGGCTGCAACTTGTCTGTTTAGAAAAAAAAAAAAAGTGTTTATTTGTCATCTGTCCATTAGAGGATGTTAGAATCTCATCACCTCTGCCAACCAAGTGCCGGAAGAGAAGGGGAACAGCCCCTCAGCGCCCTGGCTTCATCCCTCCTGCTCCTGAGATGGAGTGGACTAAGAAATGCTCTGTGACTGACCTCACAGCCTGGCCTCACTGCCTAATAAGGTGGCTTTTGCCACATATATGATGGAATTAATTCCCAAGTCCTTTTCTTGGAGAGGAGCTGCATTCATACAACTATTATCACTGGTACCCAAGGCACATCTTGGCCACCGAGGGATCATCTCAAAGCAGCATGTGGCGGGTATGTTAGTGGGAGCTGGAATGTATACTCAGGTGCAGAGGAAATTCTAGCCAGGGGTCAGTATTGCTAGACAATCAGATGGGTTGGGGTAGGAGAATCAGGCTGCCAGCCAAGTATGGGCTGTGGATCTACCTGTAGAAAGGAAGACAGTGCCTCCAAGAGATATTGTCTGAAAAAGACTGAGAGAATGAATGTTAACGCCTTGAAAGAAAAAAAATGAAGAGATCACCACCTGCATTTTGGATGGGGAAACGACGATGGCCTCACTCATAACTGTGGAGCTAGGATCCTGTGATTCTAGGAAAGGAAAGCATGAGGCTTGCTAAGTTTAGAGGCAAGGAAAACATAAACATCATGCAGCTATTACAGAACTAAGGAACAGGTGCAACTCAGGGCCCGCAGCGGGTATTTGAGACCCATCATGAATTTACTAGCATGAGGGTGAGTGAGTTTTCTGAGCTTATTCCTAGAGAACAGCGGGAACCACGGATTTATGTCTGTCCCCAGCACACAGCACTGTGTGAGGCTTACTAGACACGCAGTCAATGTTTGTAAGTGAACC